GGGACAAGCTATCCCAGCAATGGAATCTGAGAGCCCCCCAGGATAAAGTCAGTCCTGACAATGGAAAACCAGTCCATTATGCTCTCCCTTACTTGGTCCCAAAAGTCCCTAGACACCGCCTTCCTGCCTTCCTTGCCCCGAGTCCAGTTATTCCTCCCTCCCTGTAATGGGCTGCAACTGTGTTTATACTCCCAAATGGAACTTTTCTGGCCCATGACCAATATGTGTTCTCTTATGTCATTCATGTTAACTGACCTTGTCACCTTGTCAGCTTTTTGCCTGATCTTTCCAAAAGTCTCTTTCAACAGGATAACATCTCCTGTCCAGGATACCACTTGGGAACAAGTCAAGGCCATTCTGTTCCTATAGGCAACTGGAGACATCACTTACACTGCCCTGCCTAGCCCACCACGGACCCAGACCCTAAAGACCCCAGCTCCGGGGATTCCTTGATGTTCCCAGTCCAGCAGGAAGCAGCCAAAAGAGCCCATGACACCCATTGGTTCTGGTACCTTTAAATATCTCTGCTACCCCCTCCTCAGGTTACTGTGATCCTAAAGTAGGAAAAGTCTTACTCCCCCTCCTCCAGGATGCTGGGAGTCATGTACTATGCTATGTCTCCAATCTGAGACAGAAAAGGCAATTTCAGGTCTTCGATAGCTCCTTCTAGGAATCAGTCCTTCCATGGCATATTCCTCTCTTGGGCTGCTAACAACAATTTTTTCCTTAACAGCAATTTTGCCTTTTATTAATTGTCTTGCATTTTAGATAACTATTGCTATACATAAGGAAGGACCTTTACCAACTACTGTCAGGCAGATGCTTCTTGGATGGTACTTGGGTGAGCAACAAAACCCCTGACTACTTCACCCCTTTACAGCAGGAAGTAGCTCCAGAAGAAATGACCTCTGCCCATACCCCAGGCCTGGTACCCCCTATTTTTATTAAACAATAGAGTGGGGAATGTAAGCGTTATGCCCACCTTTTGTCCTCAGCCCCTCCCTGCCCTGGCGTTCCCACCATACAGCTGACCCCTCCCTCTCTCTGCCCAGACCCACCTGACTTCCCATCTACCTCTCTTCCTACCTCCCGGACTCTGCTGCTACCTAGATAGTGGGGGCCGCCATGAGCTTTCTCTCTTCAGGAGAAATATGGCTCCTCTAATAAACCTTGCAGTAATCTTTCTCCTGTGCCTGCCTGCCTCTGCGTGGCCCCTGGGATGGGTCTGACGGATCCTTTGTGTTATCTAATGTGTGGGTTATGGTTTCTGCCTTATTCAGCAACATATATTAATTTTATAAAGGTAGATTGGGATGAATAAAATGTAACTGTTTTAAGATGTTATTCATTTCAGAGAACCTTTCACTCATATATATATTTTTTAACTTAATGGATACCAAGGGCTAACTACCAGTAGATGATTGTCTGCTCAATTACTAAGTTTTTAAACATTTAAAAAATACATCCATCTTAATCAACACTGGCTTGATATTCAAAAGACTTTAAAATACCTTATTTTAATTAATATTCTTGGGGGTAAACAATGTAATTTGGCATTGCTGATTCCTGACAGAAGACTTGCTGACTCACATTGCTCTTGTTAAAAGATATGTTGGTTAGCATAGAGCAAAGTTTGTTTTATGCTGAGAATTTTCAGTAAGAAACTTCAGAATGTAATTATCATCTTCCCTCTTGTCAAATACTATATGCTCTCTGCTCACAGATTTTATATTAATTAGTTGAGTATGCATTAAAGGAGTATATCAAACCTGTATGCTCTCTAAGCATTGACCAGAGTATGTTAGTAGGTCTTGCACATATAGTTTCACTATTTATCTTGTTTAGTGATGATGTGAGTAGCAAAACACAAGTTTACTTAACAGTCTTTTTTTATATCGAACTCAGCATTTTTCTTCCTTTTTTTTTTATCTTGTTACATTGTTTTTCTGTCAAAGGGATAATCACAGTATACAGTTGTAAGGGAAAGGTGAGAAAATCTGTTTTGAGCTCCTCAAGGGAATTGTACTTCAAATTTCAAGGACCATTGATCTATTTTAGCTTGATTTATATTTTTATTAGGACCAGGCAGTGGTGGCTCATGCCTGTAATCCTAGTTACTTAAGAGGCTGAGATCTATGATTGCAGTTTAAAGCCAGCCAGGGCAGGAAAGTCTGCTGACACTCTTATTTCCAATTAACCACCAGAAAACCAGAAGTGGCATTGTGGCTCAAAGTGGTAGAGTGCTAGCCTTGAGCAAAAGAGCTCAAGGAGAGTGCCCAGGCCCTCAGTTCAAGCCCCATCGCAGACAAATAAATAAATAAATAATATCTCAGCTACTCAGTAGGCTGAGATACTCCATTTCCAATTAGGTAGAAAGAAGCATGGCTGGATGTGTGGGCAACAGCCTCAAACCAGAAAGCTTAATGATGCACCAGGACAGGAGTTCAAGCCCTGGGTACTAGCACAAAAAAAAAAAAGGGAGAGATGAGAGAGACAGACAGACAGACAGACAGAGAGGCAGAGCACAGGCAGACAGAGAGAGGCAGAGACAGAGACAAAGGCACACACACACACACACACACACACACATACAGATTAGACTTTACTCACACTTTTTAGGACAAGCCTATCCCTGTACTTAACACAGTGCAGGTACCAGTTCAATCAACAGGACTGTTAGAACACCCCTCTTAAACTCTAGTATAGATTGTAAATAGAAGAACAAATACTGCAATATCGGAATGTTAATAAAATGTAGGAAATATATCTCACTCTAGATGGGTTAGTAAAAACAACAATTTGAGTTAGTAAAAACAACAGTGGTTAGACCAGCTATTCTGTCTTTTATTAGTGTCTCTACAAAAACCTGGCTGGTCATTGTTCTCCACAGTTATAATACAATGAAATGGATCCAGACAACTTATTTTTACTTCAGAATCCACAATTGCCAAGTATGAGAATTTGGACAATCCACTTTTAACTGGCCTTATTACAACTATATTGCGTAATTAACTTTCAAAGAATAGATTATTATTTTAGGGATGAAAATGAATTAATTTCCCTCTCTGAGTGCTGTGGCTCTAAATAAACTGATTACTTTAGGACTTGTAATTTCAGAACTGGAAATACCCCTTTTGAGTCTGATTTCCTTATTTTAAAGATAGAAACCTAGGGTTGGGGTGTGCTCAGTGGCAGATTGCTTGTCAATCAAGGCACTGGGCTTGAATTCCTGCACCAAAAGAAATCTAAAGGTGGAAAAAAATATACAAATCTAAAAAAGAAGTTAGAGGATTTGTATCAACAGTACTCTCAGTTAAAATCAGATGGGGAGTTCATTCTTTTCCTTTAAGTGAAATATGTCAAAACCCAAAACAACAATAACAGAATAAATGTAATGAGGAATAAAATTGAATTGGCTAGAATATACTTAGAATATGCTTAGAATCTACCTAGTGATATTCATTCCTTGAGTGTGGGCCTCAAAATGAGGAGACTTCAATACACCCAAGGTTACAAGCTGGTTGGAACTGTCTGTCATCCAACCACATAGCAGCTTTGTTAGCTGTCTATCTCCAGAGGAATGAAAGTTTAATTCTGCCTGAAGATGGAGGAACATAATGAAATCCACATTATATTTAATAAGAGGTGGCCACTTTTCCAAGGATTCCTACCTGCCTTACAGTGTGTATATATCCACACTTATGAATCAGACTCTGTTAGAAGGTCTATGGGGCATGGAGGAGATCTGTGGCAGAGGCTGAGGGGACAATCTGTGGCCCTAGGGATGATTTCCCTATGCATGAACCAAGTACAAGTACAAGAAGCTTCCCTAATGGCCAAAAGGGAAGGGTCAGGTAACTTCAGGTGTCAGTAGTACAACATCATGCCAAACCTCCCAGGTTATTCTTTTAAAAAAATGTTTTTAATTGTAAAGGTGATGCACAGAAGGGTTACAGTTACATATATCAGGTAATGAGTGTAAGGTCTGCCTTGGGCATGGCAGGCCCAGTGCAGACACCTCCCGACCTCTTGGCTGTTTCCACACAGTATCTGTTACCTAGGTAACTAGCACATCTGGAAGCAGTCACCCCCCCCCCCAGGTCACACCTCCCACCTGATCAAAGGTCCTGAGGTCACATCCAGATCCAATGTGGCCACACCTCTTCCTGTCCCTGGCCTACAGAAGTCCTGGCCTTGGGGTGGATCTCCCCCCTTTGGCCTGGCCTTTCCACCATGGGGAGGGGTGTGTGTGTGGAAGCAGCAGTTCTGTAAATAAGCTTCTTTTCCTACCTGAATAGTGGTTGGTGTCTTCGTCAGTTACCTAATGGAAACTACCTACTTAATATACCCAACAATGAGTACATTTCCTTTTGAACAGTATCCCCCACCCCCTCCTTCTCTCCCAGGTTTTCCCCCTCCTGAGTCCCCTTCCCCCGCTCCAAGCTGTAGTGTCTAGTGGGTGAGTTGGTTCGCCTTACATCCCACCATTTCTGCGCTTCCCCTCCCCAAATCCGAGAAGCTTACATGCAAGACAAAGGGTACAGACATAACAAACCAGAAGAGGCTGGCGAGAATAACCCAAAGAAAGAAGGGAAGGAGAAAAGGAAAATAAAACGCCCAGACCTCGAGCAGAATATCAAGCAAAACCAGTTTCCCGTTCCTGAGGTTTGTTTCGGTAAACATCATTTTATGGGGTCCTAGGCACCTAGCCACTGAGCCCCCGCCACGCTCTCCCAGCACCCTCCTCTGTTCTCCGGGCTGCTTCACTGACCTCGTCCGGGAGCGGGTATTGGTCTTACACCGCCCGCGGGCTCGCGGGTGGAGCCCGGGTTACTCTTTAAGCCGGCCGGCTCCCGCAGCCCCGGGGCTCCGCGGCTTTCCCATCCCTCCATCCCCGCCTCCGGGCCGGCGTCAGCCTCTCCCCGCCCCGCCTGCGCGCCCGCCCGGGCCCCGCCCCGGCGCGCTCTGGTTGGTCCCCCCCACCGACATGATGAAACTCCTCGCCCGCGTTACAGGAGACCGGCGCATATAAGGAGCGGAGGCCGCCTCCCTGCGCTCCCTCTCCGCCGCCTCGCCTTCCGCTCCGCGTGCTCGCCCGACTGTTTCCGGCCCAGGTAAGCCGGCCCCTCCGCCCAGCGCCGCGGCCAGCGGTCGCGCCCCGGGGAGGGGCGGGGGGCGGCGGGCGGTGTGCTTTTTCCGGTCCGTCCCGCGTCGGGGTCGTCTGGGGCGCCGGGCGGATGCTGCGGCTCTGCGCGCCTCTAGGGCGTGGCGGGCCCCCGGCGAGGGTCGCGCACCTGGGAGCGCCGGGGCCAGAATAAACACGGGGTGACTTCCGCGCTGCCTCCAGCCGGCGGGAAGTGAGTGAGCCGCGGCCGCGGGGCCCTGGCCGGCCCCGGAGACCGCGAACGTGGTCCGTCCTGCTGTCTCCCGCGGTGATGGGGAAGCGCGGGAGGTGTCAGCAGCCTCGGGGCCCGGCTGCGGCCTGCGTGGGGCGCACACGTGGCCGGCGCCCCGGCTGGTGTGGCCCGGCCCCGTGGGTGGCTTGGTTCTGGTTCTGGGAGAGGCCGGCTGGGCTTGGACCGCTTCCGGATCCCATTCCCGGTGCCTTTGCCTCGCTCTCCTGCCCGCTCGGCCCCTCCCCACGCGCGTCGGTCCCCTGCCAGCCTGGACGGAGACCCGGCGCGCCGCAGCACGCCCTGCCAAAGATCGGAGACCGCCGCCAGAGCCAAACAGCGCGAAACCATTAACACGCCTTGTCCTGCTGGTTACTACCCACCGGGCCGATTTCGGTTAATGTTACTGTTGTAAATGAATAAAGGGACAAGCTTGTCTTTTCCAGCTCAAGGTTGTCTTTTCCAGCTCCTGGCCTACAGTAGTATTTTCTTCCCCACTGCCCGCGGCCCTGGTTGACTAATTGGAAGCATTGTTAGTTCCGTGTCCCTTGAATGATGCCATTGCTGTTAGAACAATGAATAGTGAAGTAGGTCTTGAGCCCATCCACTGGTTGGTTACTGAAATCTTAAAAATGGGATATGGTGAAGTTTATCCCGGTGGTGCCCTGAAATGTTGCTGTCCAATTGAGTAGCTGCTGCAAGCCACATGTCATTACGTAAGTAAGTTGAGCCTTAGGTGGAGATGCCAGAAATACATCAGATATTGATGATTTGTAAAGCAGCTCATCAGTAGTTTTTGACTATTGATTACATTGTTGAAATCACACCCTAGGTTTACAATTAATCATATTTTTTTAAAGTTCTTAATGGGGCTATTGGTATACTTAAATTTACATCCATAGCTTTTGTTCCTATTGGACAGCACTGCTGTAGAAGTTTAGGCTGAAGGAATGGAAAATTACTGGGAACAGACAACACCGGACAGACAGCATCAAAGTGGGACCTTTTCCCCTCTTAGGAGACGAATCCAGTAAAAGTGACATTATAGTTTTGATTTGCTTCTTCCTGCTGGAAAAACGTGTGCTTCATAAACATGTATTCTTTCCCCTTCAGTGAAACTGGAATTCATTTAGCATTAAGATGACATCAGCAAATGGTCCCTGATGGCCACGCCTAATTTTCAAAGCACTTTCTAAACCCACTTTTTAATTGGCATTGAGTCAAAGGTGGATTAGTAGGTACATCATTGAATTAGTAGTTACTTCAGTGAATTTTCCTCAAGAAAATCTTCTAGGCTACTTGACCAACTGCATGAAAGACACCACAACGGACCTGTGATTATTTCATTTTCAAATTGGCTTGAGTCAAAACTATTTTTTTTTTGTTGTTATTTTGATCTGGTCTTTCTAAACAGGTAACTGAAAGCTTTGATCGTTATGATACAAATGAAATTAAAGTCTGCTCAAAGTGATGAATGTAATGTTGTTCTCTCTCTGTTTCTCTCTGTCTTTCAATGCATATATATTTCTCCTTTAGGATGTTTATCCCAAATTATCTAGGCATTTGCAGCAGACACACATTTTGAACCAATACAGAAATAGTTAATTTTTTAAGTTAGAGATATTTTGTTAAAATAACTTTTGAGCTGGCAGTTTTCAAATTAAACAGGATTTTCTTCCATTGTTGATGATTCGAAATTGAGAATTCAGTTGACATTTGTAAGGATTATTTGCTTTCTGGCTTACAGGGGTGTGACATGTGTTTTGTTTTCTTCTTTTTTATACTTTCCCCACCCCACTTTTCCCCCATATTGCTGTGAAAATTCTTACTAACCAATGCAGCTTTGAAGCAGAAATATTTGAGAACATTTTTGTCACTTAGGATGTTTTGATATGAATATTTTGTATCTTCTGTTGAAGTATTTTGTTTGTGAGGGTATCTGATATCAGATACCTAATTCTGTCTAGTTCTTTAGTCACATTTGACTAGGTCACTGAAAGCTAGAAGTTATGAAGTGCTTATTAAGAGCTGCATGTCTTAACATTACAGTGAGCAGTATGTATGATCTGCTATTTTATCCTCCATCTTCTACCTACACTTACTACAGATAGAGGGCATTTAATTGTCAAGGAGACCTAAGAGGACACTGTCCAAATCTGGAGCATTATCTGGATCTTTGAGGAGTTTTTGAGATTTGGGGGCTAGAATAAGATGGGGCTAGAGTAGAACTAGCTTGCCTGTGTGTGTCCTGGGAGTGAATGGATGTAGGGTGAAGTGATAGGCTACGGAGTGCTGCTAGCTGACAACCAAACTTTAAGGTGAAGGAGATGCAGGCTTGTGCTGCTAAGCTGCTGTATTTGGCCGGAGTAAAGGTCATCTGTCTTATTTGAATAGTGGGGAGTAAATTAAGTCATTTTCCACCAGTGTGTGGCTGCCAACCTAGTGGAAAACTGCTAGAGATAACATGGTTTATGTGCCAATGTTTGAAGTGGTTTATACAGGTTTCTGGAATAAAAGACTGGATACTGACTATTCGATTGGTCTGCTTTTTTCTCCACAGAGAGCTCCTAACTGCGTTGTACCATGTGTGGCATTTGGGCCCTCTTTGGCAGCGATGACTGCCTTTCTGTGCAGTGTCTGAGTGCTATGAGGATTGCACACAGGGGTCCGGACGCATTTCGTTTTGAGAATGTCAATGGTTACACCAACTGCTGCTTTGGATTCCACCGGTTGGCGGTAGTTGACCCTCTGTTTGGAATGCAGCCAATTCGATTGAGGAAGTATCCCTTTTTGTGGCTCTGTTACAATGGTGAAATCTACAACCACAGAAGGGTAAGCAAGATGAAACCAGAAGATGCCTTCATGGGATTAAACCTCAGAGCCAGTTGGCTAAAATAGTATTTCACATTTTGTATAATTGAAAAAAATTATTATTACTGGGGTTTGAACTCTAGTTCTGAAGCTTTTCAGGCAGGCACTCTAAATGCTGAGCCATGCCTCCAGCCCAATTTTCTGCTGGTTTTTGTGTTTTGTTTGTTTTTTTGGTTGGTCGTGAGGCTTGAACGCTAGGCCTGGGCACTGTCCCTGAACTCTTCAGCTCAAGGCTAGCGCTCTACCACTTGAGCCACAGTGCCACTTCTAGCTTTTTCTTTTATGTGGTGCTGAGGAATCGAACCCAGGGCCTCATGCATGTGAGGCAAGCACTCTACCACTGAGCCACCTTCCCAGCCCTCTGCTGGTTATTTTTGAGATTGTGGGGGAAGAGGAGGGGGTCTTGCTACCTGCCCAGGTGAGTAACCAGACACAGTCTGCCTAGCTTCCCATCATTGCTAGGATAGCAGGTGTGTTCCATTTCATCCGCTCTTATTAAGAAGTATCTAACTTTTTCTGGTTGGGCTGTTCTTGAACGGTGTTCCTTCCAGCCTCATCTTCTTAAAAGGTCCTTTCCTCCCTCTCTCTTTCCTTCTTTCCCTACCTCCCTCCCTCCCTCGCTCTCTGCCCCTCCCTCCCTTCCTTCTTTTCTATTTCGATTTTGACTCATAGATTTTTTTTTTTCAAGGTAGTGCCTGGCTCTGTGGAAGGCACTTGACTTGCAGTGGTAAAGAAGAGACTTGGGACTCGACTCTAATGGAACTTATTGTATTAGGGAACAGACAACAACCATGCTATCTTAGGCTTTCTTTTAGAACACATATTAAACTGATGAATTTGAAGATGCACTTTCAGGAACAGAGATCAGAGAAATGGTTCTGAAGAAGTGGCACTTGAACTGAGACCTAATGGACAGAGGCCACCTGGCGAGACTGAGAAGTGATATGATGGGCAAAGGGCACCTGGCAAGGCTGGGAAGAGTATTTCATGCAGAGGGCAGCCAGAGGGGTAGAAGCTCTGTGGTAGGAAACAGCTCTGGGATTTGCAGACCGAAAGAGCAGATGGGTAGGACCATCTAACAGGACTTGCCAGTCATGGTCAAAAATTGGAATATTTTTCTAAGGGCAACAACAATTAAGGATGTTTTGCAAGCATGGAATTAAGTAGTTGGCAGATTATTTTTTTTTAAACTTTTTTTGCCAGTCATGGGGCTTGAACTCAGGGCCTAGGTGCTATCCCTGAGCTTCTTTTGCTCAAGGCTAGAGTTCTACTACATGAGCCACAGAAACACTTCCAGCTTTTTCTGCTTGTGTGGTACAGAGGAATTGAACCCAGGGCTTCATGCATGCTAGGCAAGCACTCTACCACTAAGCCACATTCCCAGCCCCAGATGATTGTTTTTAACAGAATATTTATAATACACAGATAATGACTCTAATGGCACACTCCACAAAGGGTAGAATGGTAGTTAGAGTGAAGTACATTAAGACATTCAGCAGCATTAAAGTTGGGACAACTTTCTAATTAAATGAAACTTATTTTTTGGCTGAGAGTGGGTGAGTAGATGAAAATTCTGGTCATTGGAGGACAAATTTGAGACATGTCTTCTAGTTCAGGGTTATTTGGTTTTGTTTTGTAACAGTTTCAATTTATAATCTAAAAGTTATTTTTTGTTTGTTAACATCCTCCCTAACTTACGGTTTTTGAAAAAATTTCAAATGTCCAAAAAAAGCAAAAATTAAGTAATTATTAATACTTGCTTCATCTTTTCGACAACACACACACATATACTTTTTCATGTGAATTATTTGACAATGTGTTGCAGATACTATGACACTATCCTTCCAAATACGTAAGCAAGTTTTCTTCTGAAATTAAGGATACTCTTCCCTGTGATAGTGGTATATACCTGTAACCCCAGCCCTGAGGGTCAGGTAGGATTGTAGATTTGATTTCAGTCTAGGCTATATAGTAAGACCCTGCCTCAAAACAAAAAAGGACATTCTTGTAGAAGCTTTAATGCTATTTTAAAGCCAAAGGCTGCATAATACCATCTACCAAGTGTCTAAAAGAATAGTTGTTGTTGTTTCACTTTTTTTTTCTTAAAATTTGTGTTTTCTTCCTTTGCGGTAAGGCAGATTTTTATTAAGGGCCCCTTATATTGCAGGTCTAAATCAAATCAATATCATGTCTATGAGAATACTAGGTTGTACCAGGGTGATGTTAGCCTGGATTTTCTCTTAAATGAAATAGGATATACTTTTTTTTTTTTTACTAGAAAGACATTATTACTTGCCTAGTTAAAAACCTTAAATATTATATAATAATGTCTAGGTGAGCCAAATATGTTATATTTACAAAGAACTTGTATAGTGTGCCAAGTATCTGAGTTTATGCCGCTTGGGCAGCTAGAAACCCATCTAAGGAATAGGATATATTTTAGGTTTATAGAAAGTATTTCCAGAGGGGCTGGGAACGTGGCTCAGTGGTAGAGCGCTTGCCTTGCATGCCTGAGGCCCTGGGTTCGATTCCTCAGCACCACATAAAGAAAAAAGCTGGAAGTGGCACTGTGGCTCAAGTGGTAGAGCGTTGGCCTTGAGCTGAAGAGCTGAGGGACAGCACCCAGGCCCAGAGTTCAGGCCCCACGACCGACCCCCCAAAAAAAAGAAAGTATTTCCAGAAACATAGCTTTAAAGCTCTAGAGTGTGCGTGCGTGCGTGTGTGAGCGCGCGCGTGTGTGTGTGTGTGTGTGTGTGTGTGTGTGTGTGTGTGCGCGCGCGCTGGGGATTGAACTCAAGGTGTTATGCCAAGGCCGCAGGACCCCCCCCCCCACACACACACAAGAAGACTACCGAGAGTCAGACTCTACAGCTGTTTTATGTTTTATTTAAACGGGCTGCAGCTTGGGCCTCGTCATACACTCCCGACACAGCGGAGCCTAGGAGGAGAGCCCTGAGCTAAGGATTTGCAGGTCTTATAAAGGCACACAATCAACCAGGTGTTTAGATTACCACCACGTGTTGCTTTCCTAGACAGAAACAAGCTTCAGATTTTTACCTTTCAAAGGTATCACACACTTTTGCTTGTTTTGTTTGTTTTAGTTTTGTTTTTGTTTGGGGGTCTATTTGAGCCATGCATACAGTAGGGTATTTTGCTCATTAATTGGAGACAGAGTCTCACAGGCTTTTCTGCTGCCAGAGGGGTCTAAGAGTGGAGAGAGGTGGAATAAAGGCGAGGGGAGTGGTGAATATGAGGCTTTTACCTAAGGGTTGGCATTGGGAGTGTAACTTCAGGGAAGAAGGAATTGGCATGTGTGAATTGTTAACCAACAGGACTGCTCTCCTCTGAATTAATTGCCTGCAGAGTTTGTGCCAAAGGGAAGGAATTGAAAGAAGGGGAGGTAGATTTGGGAAACTGGTTTTTGTTTGTATTAAATACTTCAGGTCATTTATTCTTCAGACCTTCAACCCAGAGGGAATCAGTGGAAGGTGTTAGTAAAAGAATCATCCTGCTATGTCTCAGAGCCAGGAGGAGTGACCAGCCAATTACTGTAGAGGCTGCTAAAGCCAGTTCTGGTCAGTTCTTTGAGTGCTTTCAGAGGATTCACACATTCTGGTATGAGCTGTATTGTAATGACGATTTACAGGTCACTTGTACACAAATATATTCACTTTTTGAAATTTAAAAAATAGGTTTTAAGATTTCTATCTTTTTTATTAACCTCTTCTGTCTCTAACTATATGAGTAAAAATACAAAGAAAGGAACAGGAGGATTTTTCAATCTCAACAGTGTGCTAGTGGTAGTGAAGAGCTTTGGAATTGGGAAGAACTTACTTTGCATGTGAGACCTGATCATCTCTACTGTTTTCTTTGGGGCCTGTTGTCTGATAAGGCTGTAGAGTGATTGTTTCATCAGTGAGCAGAGCCACAGTGGAGTTGGAGTAGAGATGGGATTGGATGTTGTAATCTACTCATAGAGACCAGCAGTTTGGTTTTGAGCCATGCTCTGTTATTGGGATGGAATCACTAATCTGTTGGAGATCAGTGCCAAATACACTTGTCCTTGTGTTCTTTATTTTCTTAGGCAGGGCACTGAGGCTGAACTGGAAGAACCTCAATGATACCATGTTCCTCAACCAAAAGTTGACAGTTTCCTCAGACATGTTTTGGTGCCATGACAACTAGGCATACTGGTTTTTTCACTTAAATGTAATATACAGTCAGTCCTCCCTATCAGCAGGTTTTGCATCCATGTGTCTAACCAAATATGCGTGTAAAATATTTAGGAAAAATTATGACATTGAACATGTTACAGATTTGTAAATGTCATAATTCCCTACATAATACGATTGTTTATAAAAACGTGTTGAATGAGGTATTATAAATCTAGAGATTATTTAAACTGTGCAGGAGGATGTATGAAGATCAAAGGTTAAGTACTGTACATTTTGTAGTAAGGTATTTGGGTACTTGCAGGTTTTGCTGTCTATGGAGCATCCTGGAATCAGTACCCCCGTGGAACATGGGATGACTATGTAAACATATGTGCATTATGTACATAATATATAGATACTATTCATTTCCATCTCTTATTGTCTTACAGTACATGAACAGTAGTCACTGTAACCTATTCATCAGCATTTTTAAATTGTCACTAAATTGAAAATATAAGGAATCAGCTTTATTGTACAGAACTTGTAAATTAAAACAAGCCATGTTTTTTTTTTTTGTTTTTTTTTAATTTTGGGTCTGGTTATGGGGCCTGAACTCTGGGCCTGGGCTCTGTCCCTCAGCTCTTCAGCTCAAGGCTAGCGCTCTACCACTTGCACCACTTCCGGCTTTTTTCTTTTTTCTTATGTGGTGCTGAGGAATCGAACTCAGGGCCTCAGGCATGCAAGGCAAGCGCTCTACCACTAAGCCTCCTTCCCAGCCCCACAAACCATGTTTTGATATCATAAAATGATTTATAGAACTCATACTGGATGGACTTGGCCATAAAAATGTTAGTAAAAGCACAGCATCCTAATATTGTCATTTTCTTCTTTTTCCATAAGTTACAACAACATTTTGGATTTGAGTACCAGACCAATGTGGATGGTGAGATAATCCTTCATCTGTATAACAAAGGAGGAATTGAGCAAACAGTTGGTCTGTTGGATGGGGTGTTTGCATTCATTTTGCTGGACATCACAAATAAGAAAGTGTTCCTGGGCAGAGATACTTATGGAGTCAGACCTTTATTTAAAGCCATGACAGAAGATGGATTTCTGGCTGTTTGTTCAGAAGCTAAAGGTAATGGTAGAATTCTTCTGAGTGTTTATTATTGCCTTTCTTTTTTGTGTGTGTTTTGAAAAGTGTGGGCAATCCAAAATTCTACTAGAGACTTGGGAAGTTGAAAATTTTTCTGGTCTTCAAAGAATATTGGGAGCTTAGCCCTATCTTCTTATTCTCTTTGCTTCCTGAACACCATTAGCTGAACAGGTTTCTGTGGCCATATTCTGCCCTGATATAATTCCTTGCTTCAGGCCTAAGAATAGTAGGGCCAAGTGACCATGGGCTGAAATTTTAAAACTTCAAAAGATAATAAATAATTTCCTCCTTTCAAGTTGTTTATCTCAGGTTATTTTGTCAGTGACAGAGAAACTGGTAAACACATTCTTAGTTGTGTTTTGACAATAAATGTGACAAAGATAGCCATCTTTTATCTTTTACCTGGATACCAATAATATCCCACATTGTGGTCTCTTTGTCATTCCTTAAATCTTTTTCAGTATTCAGATTTAGTATTGGCTTAGAAAGTCTAATGAGATCAGTGAAAGGGTCTAGGTCAGTTAACTAGTTACAGTATGGGTATAATAGATAAACAACTGGTCTGTTTTTAGGTATTTCTAGTATTATCGAATAGCTAAGAGTAAGTATTACATACGAGTTACCTGAAGTGTACTATTAGACAAATCTGGCAAAGGGATCACAAAGGAAAAGTAAACTCTCACTTCCAGTGAGTCTTTTGTCTCCTTTGGTGTCTCCTAGAGACCTAATAATGGTCACATGATACAGAACTATAATCTCATCTTCAATTTACTCTCTGAAGTTGCTTGATTTGTTCTTGTCTATACTTTTAACAGTTCCCTTTTCCAAACCGAATGCTATCATCTACAGTATAGTTTTCCATTTTAAATCTTTTTTTAAAATCTGATTATGTTACTTATCATAAACCTTTTAATTACCCTTAGCCCTAGCCAGGGGTGTGTAATGTACTTCATCTGACAGATAGAGTGAACATCTGGGTCCGTAGTCTTTTATTTAAATGCCATGCAAATTACTGGGATTAATCATAATGAGTGAAGCTAGGCTGTTATTATTTACAATGAAACATTGACTTCTGTGTCAAAGATCATAATAGTTGTTAGGTTGGTTATTTCTAAAGTTCCTGAGAAAATTTAAACCATACAGATTAATTCATACATGGTGTGAAACAACTATTAAATATCTTAAATTAGGAGTACCTTGTGGTGGATCATTTTGCTGGTTAAAGAATTTGCCAGACTTCAGTGATAAAAAAGAAATGATTGCCAGGATATCATAAAATTAGCATTTAAATTAATCTCTTCATAGATACGTCTTTTCTTTTTTGTATTTACTTTATTATAGAGAATAGACTTTATCGATCAGAAATTTCAACTAGGGAAAAGGATTTGAGCACTAGAGATTTTAATAAAGCTGACAGGACAGTCCACTGGGTGAGAGACAGTCTTTTCAAAAAATGGTGCTGTTAACTACCGCACATGGCAGAAAATAAAGTCTGGACCTCAGACCACATTTTCCAGTTGTTTTCAGTTATGCCTTTGTACTGTTAATTTCCATGCCATCATTTTTTATCTCTCTAGAAAGTAGATGGGACAGCTTTGGGATTTTTTTTCCCCTCTTAATTTGTTTACAGTATAGACATGCATTTGTATTAAAAGAGGAAGATGGACATGTAGAGGATATTAACTAATCATGAAAGTTACTGTGAGGTTCTATCTTATTTGAATAAAGTTGTTTTTTTTTTTTAAATTTGTAGGTCTTGTTACCTTGAAGCATTCCACAACTCCCTTTTTAAAAGTGGACCCTTTTCCTCCGGGACACTATGAAGTTTTGGATTTAAAGCCAAATGGCAAAGTTGCATCTGTAGAAATGGTTAAATATCACCACTGTAGAGACGAACCTTCACATGTCATCTATGACAGTGTGGAAAAACTCTTCCCAGGTAAGAAGTGCTCACCTGTCCCATGGTGAGACCTGTTTCCTATTTGATTTGATGAGGATGCATTGGATTTTGCAGACTCCACTCTTGGGTGATGGCCATCATGGATATGGGTGATTGAGTACCTCATTTCAATAACAAATTCAACCTGAGCTTGTCTGGTTTTATTTGTCATGCTTGTAGGTTTTGAGTTAGAGACTGTAAAGAACAACCTGCGGATCCTTTTTAACAATGCTATTAAGAAGCGTTTGATGACAGACAGGAGGATTGGTTGCCTTTTATCAGGTGAGATCAGTTAAAAAAAATTTAGAACATGATTAGATGAAATGATTTGTAGCTATCACTGAGGTTTTGATTCAGTAATTTATCACATGATTAAACCTTTCCTTTATTGTAGAATGCCCAAGTTTTTCAAAGTTATATGTAATACCCAGAGTAATACTGCAGCTTAAGCTAATAGCTTTATTAGTGTTGATAAAAATAGTTTGGGACATGGGGAGTCACATAGGAGTAAGGACATCAACTTGAAAGGAACTGGGCAAGGCAAGGTTTACTTCTGCAGAAGTAAAACTCACCAGCCAAAACTCTGGCAAGCAAACACAATTTTAGCCCTAACCCAGCAGGCTGAGCAGACTGACTTAATTAAAGTGCAGCAGGAAAAGGATATAACTAAAATGTAATTAACAAGGACCAAGTTGGCCGGCCAAAGCAAGGACTTTTTTAGAAGATCAATTCTCACAAGATAACAGGAAGCAAACTACTTTGATAGAAAAGACACTTTACCCACAGTGTAAAAGCTAGTTAGTATACATTCTTTAGAACCCTATATACTGATGATGATGTAGTTGTACAAAAGGGTTACAAGTCATAAATCCCTTCCTTCATACTTTCCTGTTTTCCCCTCCCATTTGTTTTTTTTTTAAACCAATAGAGTAACTTTTATTGTAGCTTCCAGTAAGAATATATTTTATCTTATTAAAAATTGATTTCAGCTTATAAGCTGGAAGATCTGATGTGTTAAGAGTGTAATGGGGATATGAATCATTTCTCTTCTGGTCTAATGAAGACACATAACCTGTGCACTTGCTCTCTTGTCTGTAGGGGGCTTGGACTCCAGCTTGGTGGCTGCCACCTTACTGAAGCAACTAAAAGAGACCCAAATACAGTATCCTCTCCAGACATTTGCTATTGGCATGGAAGACAGTCCTGACTTACTGGCTGCTAGGAAGGTAAGGCGCTGAAAGTTCCTGTTGAATTTATCTACTGTGTTCTGGATACTTTTGTCTACTAGACCTATACTGTCCTCACAAAGACATGGATAACAGTTCTGTCCTTCTGAATATTAGAACTTGTAGGTTTTGGAGCCTGATGGTTGGTTTAAATCCTGGTTCTACTGTGCATATCCTTGTTTCTGTATGGGGAGTAATGATGTCTAGAATGGAGTAGTTTTGATATAAACAGAATTCATAGAAAATATGTAGCATACCTAGCATATAGTTAAGTACTTTCTGAATATGAACTGTAATTGGTTTTTGTTCTTTAGAGCACTGTGTTTAGAATGGTAGATTGAGCAGGCCTTGTATACATATTCAGTGCATAGATCTAGTTCTAGCTCTAGAACTTAGACTGGGTAAGAAATGACTAAAGAGCAAAGCAAGTTGATGGTTACTAGAAGAACCCAATATAGTCAAAGCACAAGAGGAGAACCAGTCCATGTGGGAATAGCATCCTGAATGAAGAACTGAGTGTTTCAAGAGAGCCCAAAAGAAACATTCTATGTTTTAATGGGAACTTGTTGGACTGGGGAGAGATGAGGAAGGTTAGCTAAAATAGGGAGAGTGGGACACTAACTGGGAGCTTCTTGACTTATAGGTTGTAGTCTTGGAATGGAAAGAGCTGATGGGAGATTTGCTTTTTGTGGTTAAGTAGGAACAGAGAGGGTAGCCACCATGTGGTACATAACAAGGTTGTGGTCCGGAGTTGTTTCTTCTTACTGTGGTTGTTGGGTAATTATTTCCTCTGTTTTATCTTGTTTGTTTTTTTTGCTCTTGTTTAATTCTTAATTCTGTGTGAGCTACTAATTTGTGTCACTTATTTAGATAATAAGCATATGGATTGTTTTTTGTATAATTAGGTGGCAAATCATATTGGAAGTGAGCATCATGAAGTCCTCTTTAACTCCGAGGAAGGCATTCAGGCCTTGGATGAAGTCATATTTTCCTTGGAAACTTATGACATTACAACAATTCGAGCATCTGTAGGTAAGGTATTTTAGGATGTTCAAGGAGTTTTCATGCTGAAAATACTTTACGGGAGGTGGTTGGCATCCAAGAGCACACTCAAGAGGGAGAGATCACATAGTAAACTCAGAAGCAAAAGAATAGAAGGGCTGTTTCATAGCAATTCCTCAAGAAGCTACCTTCTTGCCTTCTAAGGTCCCACTAGGCATTACTTCCTAGATCCCACCGCCCCCCACATCACACTGCAGAGCAAGCCTTAACAACAGATCCCTTAGGGACTATATGCGAATCCTAACACTGCTAAAACTCTTTTGTATGGTGATGGAGGCCAGTGTGCAAGGCCTGGTTTTCAATACAGTGTTAGGCTAAAAAACATTAGAGTTTTGAAAACTGCACAAAATTGTGGAATGGTTTCTGGACTATTACTGTAACTTTTTTTTTTGGTCAGTCGTGGGGCTTGAACTCTGGGCCTGGG